GCATAGTACACAGACATGACTTAACAGCTTGCCTTTTTCAACTCCCCATCCCGTAGACAGATGCAAATAAAGAAAAGCTCCAATATTTCTCAATAACCCTTATCTAAATATGCACAAGTACACAAGTTCAAGCTCAATTACCTTCTTGTTGTGTGAATTACCCAATCCAACATAGCTATGGCCAGGAACACGCAATACGCACTTGAATCTGAGTGCCTCGGCGTGCAATAGTGGTAATAGAATATTGCGGAGCACCCATTTTCTGTTTTCCAAGCCAACCATAAAGGAAACCTTTGAGATCTTTGAGGTCCCTTGGCTTCCATGGCCTGAAATCCGTATTGATATTTCTGTTTGAAATAGCACTTGGAAACACCGCAGGGTGAAGGAAATGAAATGAAGTAGTGCAGATGCACAAACAACTAAACCAGCAGTGAAGAAAGTAGAAATTCTGTGAGCAACATCAAGCGCTGATATAATAGATTTTCGTGACAGGAATCCACTTCTGAGCTAAAGGAGAGCCTATGACGAACGGCCCGAAAATAAAATAGCAATGGTACGCAAATTTTTCCAAAGCTATAGGACAACAGCGTCGAGTGCGGACTGAGCCTAGGGAGGAGGACAGGAATAAGGAATCTTCGGGGGAAATAAACTGGTGGGGCTTACCCCCTCTTCTCGCCCCTCCCCCAAATATTTAGCCCTAACAATAAGAGGGGTTAGGGGAGGGGGGGGGTGTTAAGTATATGGGCTCTCTGCATCTACCTTCGCTATTACCAAAAATAAAAACGGCACTGCTGACCCAAGGGTAAGGGGGATAAGCACATTGGTAAAGAGCACCCAAATAAAGCCGGGGTGAACATTGCTCCTAAGCTAGGAAGAGGAGAACGTGATCCGGAGGGTATGAAACTTTTCTCACGGAAATACGAGATGTACTTCTACGAAGCCATTCCTTTACCACACAACAAAGGTTCTTCCCACCCTTCTAAAACACTCGTCCTATGGTTCGAAATTACTTTTTCGCGCAGTCCAGCACTCAGAGCCCTACAACATATTTAAGAAAAATTGAAGAGATGGTGAGAATGAAGATGCAGCATTTCCAAGCTTCAGCGCATTCTTTGTGTAATTAGCACTGTTTAAGTTTCAAGCGCTATTCACAAAAAGTCACTCATGTATTGATAAGGCTACAAAAATGTGATCACAGAAGAAACTACACTCAATAAGTACACATTTAAGCGAGGCAAAGTATAACCACTTGAGAAAGAAATACCTAGTTTAGTTAGGTTTCCCATGTTTGACAACCAAACCTAATGAGAGATGAGAAGGTAGGAATAGGAAGGAAGGAAGATTTGAAAACAAGAAAAAAGCTGGCAGACTGCGCTTGTCGTGGCGCTCGACGTTACAAAAACTTTCGGGCCGATGAGTGCAATTGCACAACATCACGAACACCGTAATGAATTTGAATGCCTCATTATGGCTAAGGAACCTTTTCTGGGCAGGGCCTTATGTGCTAATTCTTAAGGTAACATGGGAGGCGTCGAAAGAAGTAGATATGCACTGTAGCTATGCAGAAAAAGAAGCTCGTTGCTTGGCAAAATAAAAGTTGAGCAAGCGACCATTAGGCTCCGCCCTCTGCCACTGAGTGCTTAAAAAAGAAAATGTTACGTCAAGGGATTCACATAGAGGTGGAGCTTGTCCCAGGTTTGTTTAGAAGTCATGGTTCAAACCTAGTGGCAACTTTCAAATTACTAGCCATGGTCCTATAGCAAGGTGATAAATTGTAAAATGAGTAAAAATAAATAGTAAAGTAATTGTAAAAAATGGTAAGAGATAAATTGTTCGTCGAGACTTGAAGTA